CCTTGTGTAATCTTCACTTGTTTCAATTCAAAAGTACGTCTTTATGTATGACTAATGCCAAGATACAAGAACAAAAAAGTTCTAAATTTTTTTTCTTAATAAGGGCCCTATTCCATGGTGGCACTATAAACATCTCCCTCCCTCCACTCTCTAGCTAAGGTTCATCTCTTCTATCATGTCAAACCCCAAAAATAGGCAATGGTTTAAGAGCTTGTAACAATACACCTCCCAGGAGAAGGTTGTGACATGAAGTATTTTATTTCTTAGAAGGTTGTGGAAAGCTTGTGAAACCATAGATTTTCCTAAAATTAGAAGACAGCCTAGAAGGTTTATACTTTATAGCAGCTAGGTTGGTTTCAATCATTATGTAGATAATGACATTTAAGAAAACTCGTGTTGCAAGAAAATGTCTGTTTAATATTCTAACATGATAAACAAAATAAATAATCATTAGCTTTATCTTATTTTTAGAAAATGAAATGAAACATAGAACTTTAATTTTTAGTTTTCAGACCAAACCTGAATACTGTCAATAGCACCTAAAAGCAACAACTGAGTGATGCACTTGCTTCTAATTGTTGCCAACATTGAACTTTCATCATCTTCTCTTGCATCAGGCTCCACATCATGGGAAATCTACACATGAAATATAAAAATAGAGTCATGATGAATACTGAAATAACATAAAAGCATTTCTAGAATGAAATGGTAAATGAAAATGCTACAGTATGACCATAAGACCATTTATAAGATTATATCTAGGCACATGGTTGCAGTAGGCACTAGCCGCTAGTCGGGCGGTAGAGTAGCGCCTAGACGGCCTAGGCGGCTAACTATATAAAATAAAAAATAAATAAAAAATAAAATAGAAAACAGTGCATGTGTGTGGGTGTATGTCATATTATAAAATTAGCAAGGCCGAGTCGGCCGAGTTAGGCGCCTAGGCAGCCGGCTGCCTAGGGGGGAAATCGCCACGGCCTAGGCCAATTTTTGCAATAGTGTCTAGGCATAAAATGTTTGCTCACTTCTTATTAAAAAAATAATAATAATAATAATAATAATAATAATAATTTAAAAAAAAAAAAAAAAAAAAAAAAAAGGGTTAAATAAGTACTCAAACTTTACCCAAAAGTGCAATTAAGCCCTCCAACATTAAAAAAAAGTTCAATTAAACACTCAAACTTGTCAAAATAGATCAAATAAGCCATGTTTACCAGGTTACCGGTTATTCACCACTGTTGACCACCCCTAATCACTTAAATTCAAAAAATAAAAAGAAATTCCGATCGTCACCTTCGCCAGAAAGGCAACCGGACAGTCGTCTTCTCCAGTGGAGAAGGCAACGCCCGGTCGTCTTCTCCAGGAAGACGACCAGACGGTTGTCCACTCCATTGGAGAAGACAACCGGAGAAAACGACTTAATGACACTGGTAGCCTGGCGTTCCACGGCTGCCGGAATGGAAGGAAACTTAATGACCGGTTGTTCCAGGTGAACAACCAGTCATTTGGGTTTAAATGTACCAAAATGATAGGTTCAAGTGTTTAATTGAACTTTTTAATGTTTGAGGGTTTAATTGCACTTTTAGATAAAGTTTGAGGCCTTATTTGAACCTTTTCCCAAAAAAAAAATTTGAAAGAACAATTAAATATTAGTTTGCAGAGGACAACGACAACAACAACAACAACAACAACAACAACAATAATAATAATAATAATAATAATAATAATAATAATAATAACGTGGACAGATATAGCTTTTACATATATAATGCTGAATAAAAAAGTGATTCTATGTATGGTAAGTGGCCATTAGTTTGAGAAGTAGCAATTGCTGTTATAAAGTAGCACATAGTGCAGATTGTTATTATAAATGTCATATGCAACCATCTTCTAGCAAGTTATGCAGATTTAACCATTGCAACTGTGTGCATATCACTGTTGAGAAACCCAGATCATTTCATACGACTGTCTAAATCCCTCATATTTTCAGAGAGGTCATGAAAATGTTCCATTATATTTTTGTTAATCTAAAGACTTATGCTGCTGCTGTTTACAACATCTTTTACTTTCCCAATGCTTTTTAATTTTGCTGAAGATCTTAATACTTTCCTTCAGCTTACTTTAACTTTTTGAGACTTCAAGAAGTGTAATCTGCTGTTAATTTCTCCCAGACTTTGATGGTTTCTTACTCTGATTAGAGAGACTCTACCTAACCACATACTTGCTTTGGCCTAAGGTAATGGCCTCTTCATAAATAAGCTTTTCTGAAAAGCCTCAATTTGAAGCTTCTTGAAAAGTGAGCTTTTTTCCTATTATCTGGCCAGAAAATCCCTTTTACATTTTACTGTTTAAGCTGGGCCAAACAGGCACTTAGTGATTCTGCAAATCGCTTCTTATTTTCCCAGTAACAGAGGCTTTTAATGTTTTTGGAGGACATGAACAGCATGCAAAATTATAGATAAACCAAAGTAAAGTTAAAAATGTCAGCCAAGATGGTTAAAGAATAAGAGTAGCACAAGTCAACTACAGTGGAAATCAAATCTCAAATACCTTAGGTGAAGATGAAGGTGCAAAAACTTCAGAAGTTGGACTTCTGGGTTTGGACGTAAAACTTCTGAGAAAGCGATTGTCCATCATATTTCCCATAATTTTCTGACCAAATGTTTGATTCCGTTGGAGATCTCCAGAATCTTTAGCTCTCCCAGAAGGTGAAGGTATGCCTATATAAGAAGAAAATAAAAAAAGACTTCCCCTATTCAAGATGTTTTCTTTTCTTTTTTGCTCATTTTAGTAAGTCATAATGCTAAAAGAGTTAACAATTTTGCTTGCTAAGTTCATGCAGGGTAAGATTCAAAACCACAGAACTTATAGTTAGTACTAACCTTCAGTTCCATCCTGATCAACAGGCCGCACCATCCCTTGATTGTCATCCAGCATGTCTGATGCATTATGAAGCTTTGCAGTGCCATCAGCACCAATACCTTCTGATACAGTACCAGGTGTACTCCCATTGAACATTTGGGTTGGACTATGAACTGGAGAGACTTTAGAATCTCCTAGCGTATTATCCTTCGCATTTTCAAAACCTAAATTGTTGAGGAGCTCAAGGGGTTGTGTTGTATATGAAGCATCTCTGGATATTATGAGATAAGATGACTAAACCATGAGTACAAGTAGCCACCAGAAACAAAATATAAATGTCTCACCAGTTAAGAACAGTATCACACACCTTATGCTTTGTAACAAGGTATCCCAATCACTGTCACTAAATTGGTGTCCACCAACTTCAATCAAATGCACTAATGCTCCCAGAGAGAGTGACACCACTGATTGATCAGTTTTTTTGGCACAATCTAACAACAAACTGAGAAGTGGAGGCAGCATAAAACAAACATCCTATAATAAAAAGTAAGAATATTATACTTTTGCTGATGATCATTTAATGGAATTGCAAAAATAACCAAACTACCAAATCAAAATATGTGAATGCACTATAAGAACTTAAGGTCACAAGAGGTCTGCATACCCTCATCATTTAATTTTCCTCAGGTAAGCAATATAGTCAAACACATCAAATGGGATACATAAGCTATAAATACTGCTTAATCCTCAAAACTGAAGAATAATTTTCAACATCATAAACAGACAAAAGTGGAAACAGAATACACATCTTACCTTGTAAAAAGTGTTGAACAGATTACACAACAACTGGAGTGAATGGATGCTACTTTCACGCAGCCACTCATCTCTAGAAGAATTTAAATTCTCTTGTCCAGCATGTCTAACATGATCAAAAATGGGAAAGAGCACACGGTGGAATATACTCTCCCAAAATGAAGATGAGAATTTTCTGCCCCTCTCATTCAACAGATCAAATAAAACCTCTAGTGCACAGTTTCTAACTTCTAGACGGGGGTCAGAAGTTAGATCTGAGAGACCAGCCAGCATGGGGAACCAATAATGCTCAGTAACATCACTAGATGTATCTGCATTATCATCAATGGGTTTCAAAGCACCACCTGGTATAAGGCCCTGAAAGTGAAAATTAAAGAAATTAGAAATATATTTCAATTACCATGCAAACTAAAATCCAATATAGAACCTTTGTATACATTTGTGATACATATAAGAAACCAAAGGCATTGTGATTTAAGAGAAGACAAGATACAACTTTGGATATGGTAAAATTAAATTCACTTACTCTTCGTCAAGCCAATTGAAAACTACTTAAATCTAAAAATATTTCAAGTGCCAGGGAAGACAGACAAAACATGGAGCAACAAACCTCAGCAAGTCGATCCTCACAAATACGAAGTAGTGCAATAGCCTTCAAACTGATTCTGTGGGAGCTCTTATTATTAGCAAACCTGATTAAGCAATTGACACAATCCATGAAACAATCTCCAACTACTTGATCAAAATGTTCCAGGATAACTGCAAGCAGCTTCAGTGTCAGAGTTTATGCAATTAAACACATGCAAATAGTACAATTGAGAAAACTAAAAGAGAACAAAGTTTACTCTTACCCTGTTCTACATTTTCAAAGGCATTTTCAACAATTTGTACTGATTCATCATCTGCAGCAGCTGTGAAAATCATGAACACACTCCGCCAACCAGATTTTATACTTCCAACCTTAGATTTTATCATCTGTTAATGCACCAGAATAAGTCAAGTTTCAAATGGATCAAAATAAATATGAATTGTTAGAGAAACAAATTGGACATACTTGTACTATGCAATCAACAATAAGCCTCCTTTTGGATTCACTTTGGCTGTTACGCATAAGAATTACAAACGGTTTTAAAATATCATTCTGAAATGTGAAATTGGCAAGTTCAGCACGCTCTAAATATTTCATTCCAAGTTGCCGCAGAGAATCTATGGCATACATAGCTACTCTTTCATCAGGGTGACTCCCAGCAAAAATGAAATGAATAGCCAGCACAGACCATATTCTTGCCCAAACCTGAAAAAGAGGTTTATGGGGAAATAGTAAGGAATACTATGTTATTGACAGCAGCAAAGTTTAATTATTTGAATGGGAAATAAGATGAAAATTTATCTGTCAGCATTCATACTAGAATTGTGTACAAAATAAGCAGATTCTCTATCTTTACATCATAAAATGTGTTCCCAGGTGACAAATGAATTCAAAAATAAATGATGAACAATTTAAAATAGCTCTTTAGCATTTTGAGATGGTGTGTATCAGCCCACCTCACTTAAACATAATAAGATTTTATATGCCTTGAAACTAAGGAGCAGTGTCAAGAAAATATCCAAATAAAAAGCATTATAACATACAACATATGATATAAATAGTAAAAGTTATAAGAGCCCTGAGGACGTTGTAGTTTAGTGCATCTATATCCAGTTTCTGCTATGGATCCGAGAAGGCTCTCAGTGTTGGTAATATCAAATTTGGAAATCCAGTAGAAAAGCAAAGGAAGTCAAATTGATTAAATGGAGGAATTCAATACCATCGAAGGTTGCAAGATCACATAAATCAGCAACAATTAAGCAAAAGACATTTGTTAATCAGTGATAAAAACAGATTCTACACCTGGTTTAGTGAATTATTTAATTATCCTAATGTTAGTTTTCAGGAATAAATCAGTGTCATAAAGGAAATATTGCCACAAGGACCAAGGAAGACAGCACATTTTCTACTCAGTGTTCATTGGGTTCTAGATGAATGTATTGATTCCTTCAGCTCCTATCAAGAACTATATATATTTTATTTAAGAAAAATTAGCATAAAAGGTTGCAAAAGCTAAAAGATTATTGTCCCTGTAACACCACCCAACTTAACTAGTTTGCAAGTTCCATATGAAACAAACTTAATATCAATAACTCATAAGTACAGAAATTACCATTCTTATACGAGTCATGTTGTAGTAACTGATCTCTACAAGTTTTTGCAAGCTGAACACGCGTGGTGGAAGCTGTCTTAATTCCTCGGAAGACACATTACACAAAGAAGTAACAAATTCCACTACAGATTCACTGGGCAATTTGACACTATTCACAAACACCTGCTCAGCAGGTTTTCCTGCCAACTCTCTCAGTGACTGAAGAAGAGAATCTCGAGATATCTGGTTAGATCCTTGCATCACACTAGCAGCCATAAAAGGTGTAGATATAATAAATTCAAGCCGGGAAATAGTCTCGAGCACTGCATTCCATGACTCCTGGAGTGCACCAGGATCTGAATCACATAAAACCAGAAGAGTCCGCAATGCTTCCACATTTTTACTTCTCATGTCCTTTGGTGCATGTAACAAATTAAATCTGCAATTCAATTACAAAAAACTTGAGTGCCACCTCACAGTCAAAATAACATGACAGCAATAACTTCCCAATGCACGATAATAATTTTTCTGATAGGTAGGATAATAGTACTTTGCAGGTTACAACTATCCAAATACGTTCAACAGTGAGCTATGAACTTGATAAAAATCAAGTCAAACGAGATTGAGAAAAAACAGATAAGCACAAATTACAAACCATTTAAGTGACAACTTACCTAAACAGATAAGACAAAAATGCATAGCGCATGGTGTCCATTCCAAGAACATGTGTGATGTGAATTCCAGCTTTTAATCCTTCCATACAAAGAACAGCCCTGGATTTATTTTCCCCCTCTTCCATAGTAACTGCAAAAGTAGCAAGCAGCGGCCATCCTAGAGCTTCAACCATTGGGCGCACAAGCTCTATATTGTGTGAAGTATAAAACACTCCTCTTTTCCCACCTTGATTTCTGAAAATTGCTTGTGTCTGTTTGATGATAGCCTCACTCTCTGACTTTGAATCGGTCAAAGACTTCCTTTTTGGAAGAGCTAGATTAAGAATACTGACAAGCCGACCACTCTCCTCAGGTTCTGGCTTGTGCTTGCTATTTTTTGCAAGTGGATCATCTTTCATTTTTATCTCTTCTTGAACAATAGAATCATAAATCTCCTCCAAGAGATCCGTAGGAGCACTCTCTTCAGCTTCATTCATAGCATTTATGCGAATAAAATCCTCCTTTGACATTTTTGGCCAGACCATAGGGTTATGAGCATCAGTATTCAACATTATAACTGCATATGCTAGAACATAAGCTGTGTCTGCATTCTTGAACAGATCAGGATTGTCTGCACAGTAACTGCAAAAGGACATCAAAGTTGAGGCAGATTACTCTCAATTACCAGACAGTTAAGAGAATACTAGATGGTGACAGACAAACTTGGGTTTTAAATGCAGCCAATGTATTCGAAAAATAAGCCACATCATTCAATTATGCATATCTAAGCCAACAAATGACAGAAAAAAATCTGGTTTTAATGCAGCCAATTTAGCTGAAAAGTTACATAAACATACAGCACCAAGGCAATAAAATAAGTTCTTAAAGTGCAATTTAAGACTTAAGTGCTCAACAGTGACAAAATGTGGCAAACATCAAAAGCTTTGCAGCCAACGGAGCTGAAATCCTCCAATTTCTTGGCCAAGTATGTTGGAGTTTAAGATTGGGCAGAGGTCACTCAACTGGACCATAATGCACAGGCCAAACCACACTAAAAGATTGAATTCAATCAATTAACTAGTCTAACCCATAGCCTTATAAACCCATATGTTTCTATTTTTTCAATGTGGGATTCTTAACAAAGTACATGCCTTATTGCAACGCAGCAAGTATTCCAAATTAAGTAGTGAAACTATTCAACTTGACTCAACTAAGCCTTAAATCCAAACTAGTTAGTGTTGGTTACTTACTTACTTGATTCCTTTGTTTACTTTTAGTTCCAATATAACCTCTTGAACTAGCAAGTCTAATGGAACCATTTTACAGAGCATCAAAAAGATAAAATAAAAAATGTGGAATTATTCTGATGTTTGAACATGAAATCTTGGCTCATTTCTCTTAGACTTGTTTGTTTTAGTAGGCCTGTGAAAGGACATCTTTTATCTTGCATAAGGTTACCATCATACTATGTTCAATGGCTTTGGCTCTTCCCCATCTGATTTTTTATTCTCTTAGTCTGTTTCCTAATTATTCATAGTTCTTGATAGCTTCTCTAGTTTGAAAGGATAAGATTACCAAGCTAAACATATTCACACCGTCTTTGACTCTCTGGCTCATAAACTGCTCAAAACAATGAAAGTCCATATCAAAGAAGTAATGCACACATAGATATAGAGGACAAGCAAGTAGAAAGATACCGCTCTGCAAACTTTTCCATAATACGGTCTATCTTCTGAGCTTCCCCAGGAAGTCGAAAACCTCTGAGAAATTCACGAATTGCCATATCAAACTTCATTCCAGAAAAATTCATAGAGTCAACATAAGCATGCATCACAGCAAGTGGGAATTCCTCATGCTGACCCAAGTAGTCTCCAATCATAGCCTGAAACCTAACAAAGTTAAATATTTTCCCATTGTGACAATATTAAATAGGATGCAAAAGGGGCAGAGCATTTTTACCTTGTCCAAGTTGGAAGTACTCCTAAGAAATTGAGCAACTGAAGCAGGAGACCTCTCAACCGACCCACTTGATATCAAATATTCTATCCCCTTACCAGGCTGCCTATTAAACTGGCATGTGTTGAATAAGTCAAGATTATTCTATCCAGGCTAACAAACTTACCAAAGAGAGACACACTATACAGAAGGTTAATAAAATTATACAAAGAAAATGAACAGATCAGAACTGATGAAATCCAAATTTTGCATGAGAAAAACACTTACTTCAGAAATTGCAGCTTCTATTGTAGATTTGTGGGCCTTCAACTTCTCAAAGTCAGTGGGTACATCTTCCCTGCTTCTTATGTCATTTGGTTCTCTATTTGAACCTTCTCCAGAAGACTGTTTCCCTTCATTAACTCTGTCAGCTTCTCTCTGGTTTTTCTCCCAATCAACAAGTGATTTTAACACATTTACAAGGCACTACAAAGGACAAGAAACCCGCAGAAAACAGTAGTAATGAGCATCAAGTGTAACTGAACTGCCCAAAAATCAAAAGGCATTTCAAATGAGAAACCTGTAGGGATGATGCTTTGATTGATCCCATCTGAGACATAGCAACTGAGTTTGGATCTGCATTTTGAGTCCCTTGAGCAATTTTGGATAAAGTGGTCACCTATATGAGAAAACAACAAACAAGGGGGTTTACTAAACATATGAAAAACATAAAGGGAATGGCAAATAAAAAACAAATTGGTCTGGGATGGGAGAGTATTGAGTCCTTAAAATAATGGAAGTGAAAGAATACCATGCGCTCAAACAAGTTTGGAGCATTGAGATCACAATCATAGTTCACATACAGGTCAACAAGCATCTGCGAGTCCCTGCATATTTTCTCTAGCATTCTGCAAAATCATAATGAAATAGGGACTTAAAACTTAGAAGGACCAATATAAGATTCATGAGAATTAAGAGCTTTTCATTGTTTAAAATTGAGCATCAACTGTTCTAGTATCTTCACTTACACTTTGGAACATTTCTTTTACTTTTCTTTTTTCTCAATCCCAGGGTTAATGTTTAGAACCTGAATGATGAAAAATGCTATAGTAAAACTAAGACGTACTTGAGAACACTTGATTTTGGGTTCAAGTCTGGTCCATCCAATGGGCGCAAAACAATCAAGGGAAAGAAAACCCCAATTTCACCCTGAAAAAATAAATAAACAAAATAACATTCACAGGCTCATAATGAAAATAAACTCTAAAGTTCACTCAAAGTGAGCATTCTAAACGTTAATTATACCCTGAGACTTTCCCTGAATCTTAACATAAGTACAGAGAAAATTCCTGTTGCATACTGTCAACCACAGGGAGAAATTATAAGGGTTATAAACAATATGACATTACATAGAATGATGAATAGTTTGAGGAAGGCCGAAGGTGTAATAAAACTAAACCTGAAATATGACAGGAGTATGTGACACTGAAGCTCGAAGCAATACATAAGAAATGTATGCTTTCACAGAATCAATGAAATGAATGTCTTTTGTGAATGATTGACTAACACC